TAAGATAAGGAGTATTCCCAAAGATAAAAGAGACAGTTTATAATGATTAAAGGGTCAGTTAGGGAGTTATATCTATCATAAATATGTATGTGTTTAAAAAAAAAAAACAAACTTTGAAGTACATGAACCAAATACTAACAGTAGAAGCAGATAAATCCACAATCATTGTGGTATATTTTAACATTCCCTTCTCAATAACTGATAGAATAATTAGGCTAAAAAGTGGTAAGGATATAGATTTGTAAAACATATGCAAACACAATGAACTAATACAGAGAACATTATGGCCAACAATTGAAAATATACATTATTTTCAAGTGTGCATGGAAGAATATTCAACAAGATAAACTGTATATGCTGAGTGACAGAAAATTTCTCAACAGTTTTTTTAAGATTAAATCTTAAAGATATATTCTCTGACAATAACGGCAATAAATTAAAAATCGATGACACAAGAATATCTGGAAAAGTCCCAAATAATCAGAAATTAAACATATTTTTATGTAACCATGGCTCAAAGAAGAAATTGCAATGGAAATTAGAAAATATTTTTATCTGGAAGTAAAAAACTAAAATTTTTGATATAAAATTATCAGGAGGAGACAGCACTATAAATGAGTATATTTGAAAAGAAAAGTTCAAAGTCATTATGCTAAGTGAACTAAGCCAGATACAGAAAGATAAAGATAAGTGTGGCATCTAAAAAAGTCAAACTCGGGCGCCTGGGTGGCTCAGTTGGTTAAGCAACTGCCTTCGGCTCAGGTCGTGATCCTGGAGTCCCGGGATCGAGTCCCGCATCGGGCTCCCTGCTCGGCAGGGAGTCTGCTTCTCCGTCTGACCCTCCCCCCTCTCATGTGTGCTCTCTCTCTCATTCTCTCTGTCTCAAATAAATAAATAAAATCTTTAAAAAATAAAAAATAAAAATAAAAAAGTCAAACTCATAGAAAGAGGATTTAACATCATTAATCATCACTGATAAGAAAATAAAACTTACAATAAGATAGAATTCTTTACATGAACTAGAATGTCTGAAATTATAAAGACTGTTAACACCAAATTCTGCTGATACTGACAAGTAATTAGAACTCTCATATATTGCTGTTAGGTATATATTTAAAATAGTACAATCATTTTAGAAAACTGCGTTTCTTGAACACAGACAAATATCTAGACTATGACCCAGCAATTCCACAAGAAAAGATTTAAACAAAATTAACTATAGCAGTTTTACTCATAATACTTAGTTTAGAACAACCTACATGTCCAGAAAAACAGACACACAAATAATGGAATATTCATATGATGGAAAATTATTCAACAGTAAAAAAGAACAAATTACTGAAACCCTCAAGAACATGAGTTTCACAATTATGTTGGGAGAAACAGACCAGAAATTAAAGAGTACATACAGCTCAAGAACAACTGAAAGTAACTTTTGTTGACTGAAATCAGGACAGTGGTTGCCTTGGAGAGTGGGTATCCAAGGGAATTTTCTGTGGGAGATGGAAACGTTCTATATGTTGTTGAGTGGTGTTACATGGGGGTATGTGAAAAACCACTGAATTGTACACTTAGGTTCTGTGCATTTCATTTTATATAAAATAATTTCCCATAAGTAAAAAACATAAAAAAGAAAACAAAAACATGAAAAAAGTTTTCCCATAAAAGTGTAGCAGTAATATTCAAAATATGTTATATATTACATTTATACAGAAATTTAAAATACTAAACATTAATACTTTCTAGCTAATGTTTTGTAAATCTAGGTGTTAGTAGAATAAAACAAGGAGCTTTATTGTAGTTTTCATATATCCATACTAGAGAAGAAGCCTTAGAGATTAGTCCAAGTAGTCAACGAATACTTTCAACTTCAACAATCATCTGGCAATTGTTCAATCTTCAGACAAAGTTCCGACTAGTACTTGTGAGAATAGCATTCTATCCAGCTTTCAAGGAACATGTCTTATACAATTAACAATTTCTCTGTAATAACATCCTAAATTCAAAGTTAGTTTTAAATTTTAAGTCTAGGGGCGCCTAGGTGGCTCAGTCGTTAAGCATCTGCCTTCGGCTCAGGTCATGATCCCAGGGTCCTGGGATTGAGTCCCACATCAGGCTCCCTGCTCTGCGGAAGCCTGCTTCTCCCTCTCCACTCCCCCTGCTTGTGTTCCCACTCTAGCTGTGTCTCTCTCTGTCAAATAAATAAAATCTTTTAAAAAAATAAAAATAAATAAATTTTAAGTCTAAACTTTAAAAAGGTTAGACTTTTCCTACATAACAAATATTAATGTAGTTGTGTTTAAAAAATTACAAACAGAATCTTGGTTTTTAAAAAAATCCTTTCTAAAGTAGGCTAATTTAATTAGTAACAAACCAGAAAATTAGGCCACTGATTTTTTTAAATTTATTTATTAGAGAGAGAGTGAGAGAGAGAGCGCAAGAGGGGGTAGGGTTAGAGGGAGAAGCAGACTCCCCGCTGAGCAGGGAGCCCGATGTGGGACTCGATCCCAGGACTCCGGGATCATGACCTGAGCTGAAGGCAGTCACTTAACCAACTGAGCCACCCAGGCGCCCAAGGCCACTGATTTTTAATGTATCTTTTAATTGGTATAGATTTTGTTATTGTGATCCATAAGGAATAATAGTTATTATCTTTCTAACATTGCAAATTGTTTTTAAAGTAATAATTAAGGTATCCAGACAGAGAAATAATGGGTGATTTATTTGAGGATGCAATGAATACTAGGTGGTGAAAATTCAAATTACAATGATAACATTAATATACTAAGAAGCATTATTTGTTTACTTGAATTTTGAAAGTGTTTAATCATATAGTGGCTGCTATTTATGCATGCCTTATTTTTATAAATAGCTTCCTGACCAAAAGTTATTTTCTTATACACAATGAACTTGTAATATTTGAAATTCACTGAGTTGAGGTTAACAATAATTTACACAACCTTCTATTTGTTCAAAGCCTTTTCTTTATATTCATATTGCACCATTTTTAAATTGAGTCTAAATGTAGCATTATTAATGAAATTTTGCTATCATTAAAAGTCATTTGTTTTACATGTCAGAGTTTTTACACCATTCATAAATGGTTTTCCCTGAAGCTTATAATCTCAGAGAAACAACAGGCACATTCCTGAAGCTTTCAAGTAATAGGTCACTATAGATAAAGAAATAAGAAGGCTCTTGCATGCACACACACACATCCTTAATTTACTTAAAAAGGAAAGTAAAAGAGAAAGAGAAAAAAAAATGGAGTGAAATGGGGGAGGAGGTTGATATGTAGAGGCTGTTATGAAAAGTACCAGCTACAGCTGCATAGGACAGGAATGGAAAATAGGGTAATAAGATATGCCCCAGTTCTTAAATAAGTTAATAAAAATGCTGCTTGAAGAACAGCTGTCTTTAGCTGGAGCTGGGATGAAGAAAGGAGTAATGCCTGGAGTCTACTTAATGAAAGGTATTAGAGCATCGAAGGGGTCAAGGAGAATTATGCATTCTTTACAAATTCATTTTTTACAAATGGAATTACACTTAAAAGGACTTTTAAATTTGTAATTTAGAATTTGATACTTAAGACAATTTCACAATGGCAAACATTACACCTTTGGAATTGATCCAGGATAAAAAATGCGATACGTGTCTAGGAACTCTAAAAATTTCCCAGAATGGCTTCAGTATTTTACATAGTATTTTTAGTATTATAGTATTTTTGGTATTATAGGTAAGCACATATCTGATGACAGAAATTGAGTTTTCCTGAATTTTAAATCCATATTTGGACAAAAATATGTATATAGTTACATCATAAATATATCTGCACAAATTAATGAGGAAATTCATAAAATGAACCTCAATCTCCCCACCCCATAACAATTCTATCGAGATATTGTGAAATAATGGAAGAAAACTATTCTAATACCAATAAATTCAAATGATTCATTGAATTTCTAAGGTAAGGGTAACTCTTTCTAGTAGAAAGAGTTCTGGATCAGTGGAAGTTCTGCCAATAATTAGTTATAGCTCACTTAGTAGACACTTAACCTGTGTGCTTCATTTCCCATGTCTGCCAAATGAAATGACTAAATGAGGTTATCTCTGAGGTCCAATGAAAATATAAAATTATGTGATTCTAAATTTTAAAAGCACAAGAAATAAATTTGTTTCATCATGGTATTCCCATAGTCCCTACCATACTACTTCATATGTATTAAATACAGTCATCTTGAGTAGATGGATAAAAAGGGTACCAGGTATGATATTAAACATCATGTTCAGAGTTTTTGCTGGAAGCATTTTTGTTGGAAGCATCTTTCCTGCATAACTAATTGGCTGTAAGACAATTCTGCCATAAAAGATAAAATCGTGAAAAATAAAAGAGGGATATTCATTAAAAAGGACACAATTAAACATTAAAAATGAATAACAAATTTTGAAAGACTTTATTGTGAAATACTAAATATTTGAATACATTCAAAATGTATAGTGCAGATTCATGGCAATACTGCACAAAGAGTGGATTTTATTTTTTTTATTGTACCTAAGCACTTATCAAAAGTTTTTCATTCATAATATCATATATGCTTTTGCTTGCTGATTCATCTTCATGTACAGCATCTCATTTTTTCTTTTTTTGCTAAAATTTCTTCCTTCACTAAAAGATATATCAATTTCCAAATACTGGGATGCATATTTGTAAGTGAGCTTTGTCTTGCATTGTGAAAACTTTCTACACCATTGTTTGCTGCATGTCCACTGATAGATGTTCCAAAGTTCTATGGGAAATGTGGGTTCAAAACTCTATGCCACTCTGCAGACCCTTATGGGAGCTGGCTAAGATTTATATCATTTATAGCATTTATATTATATCATTTATATATTAAAAATGGGAGTACTGTATCAATAGAGAAATGAAACCAAACTGTCAACCAGTTGATGAAACCATCTTTCAAACCAAACTGTCAACCCATTATATTTATCTTTTTCAGCAAAATTGCCTTACAGGGCGGAAATGATCTGATCGTGGTGAAAATGCTTGCAGCAAAGATGCTTACTTAGAACCATTAAACATATGAACTTCTGCTCTGGAGAAGATGGAGTAGATGTATTCTCCCTACTTCTTCCACTATCTGCAACTAAAACCATAGACATTAAATATAAAGACACTGAAAGGTGGAGAGAAGGCAGAGCAACTAGGGAAATCAGGACCCAAGAAAGAGCACACTGGTGAGTTCTCTGGGTTTTATTCTTGCCTCATATAGCCCCAAAGCCAGCAATCCAGAAATGTCAACTAGCTCAAGCCAAGAAAGCCCTAGTAAAAGTCTGCTCTCTCCAGCCCAAAAACAGTGTAGCCTAGGGAGACAAAACTTTTAGACAATAACAGCTCTACCCCAAAACCACAGAAGAAAACTGTGGCCCCACTCCCTCCCTAGTCTTCTACTCTCGGTACTGAGGCACCTCAACCATCTTTGATAGGGTGAGGTTGGAGAAGGCAAAATAAGAAGCTAGAACTTCTACCCTTTCCAGAAATAAGAAGACCCCTCCACCATGTCAGTGGACAACCATGTGGGGAGCAGTCATGAGGAACTCCTAGCCTTCCCAGCTAGGGCCAAGAGGCCTCCTCAGTGGAGGCCTAGTGGGCAGCCCTCTTTCCTGTGCCCATTCAGCATCCTTCCCTGGGGTGTCAGCGGAGGGTGAGGGGGAACCTGGATTTCTACTCCCACCTGCCAGTAATGGAGAAGTGCCCTCCCTTTCCCTACTAGAGTGGGTCACAGGAAATCATTACAGATGTAATGGCCTTAATAATTATAGGACTATTCACATACTAGGTGAGCTGTGGAAATTGCAGTTTTTGAACAAAGAGTTTGCTTCACCTAAGGTGCAAAATTTTTGTGTGTTAAACTGCTGGTATTATGTCCTTATTATCCTTTTGATGTTGGTAGTAGTGTCTAGAGTGGCTTCATTCCTAAGTATTGGTAATTTGTGTCTGCTTTGCCAGCCTTACTAGAGGTTTGTTAATTTTAACTTTTCAAAGAACCAGCTCTTTGTTTCACTGATTTTTCCTGTTGTTTTATGGGTTTTGATTTCACTGATTTCTGCTCTTATTTTTATTATTCTCTTCCTTCTTTCAGCATGTTTTGGGCTTTTCTTTTTCTAGACTGTAGTGGAGGGGAAGATGACCTTAGATTATTGTTTTGAGATGTTTCCTCTTTTCCAAGGAATACATTCAAAGCTATACACTTCCCTCTCTTCACTGCTTTAACTGTGTCCCACACATTTTGACATATTGTATTTTCATTTTATTTCAATTCAATATATTTTAGTTTACAATATTTCTTCATTTCTCTTGTGACTTCCTTTTTGACAAATGGATTATTTAGAAGTACCACTTTCTGCAACTGGTTTGATATCACATTTCAGTTCCAATTTTGCATCCTGAGAGCACTTAAACATAATTTTAAATCTCCCCAAAAAGAGATCTCCAGGCTCAGAGACTTTCACTGGAGAACTCAACCAAATATTTAAAGAAGAATTAGTACCAATTCTCTTCCAGAAATTAGAAGAGATTCATATTATGAAAGTAGTGTTATCCTAATATTGAAACTAGACAAAGACAGTGGGGGGGAGATCCCAAAAACTACAGACCAATATCCCTTATAAATATATAGATGCAAAAAGCCTTAACAAAATATTGGCAAATATAAATCAGTAATATATAAAAATAAATACACCACGATCAAGTGAAGTTGATTCCAAAGACCAAAGGCTTGTTCAATATTAGAAAATCAGTCAATCTAACCCACCGTATTAACAAGCTAACGAAGACAATCACATGAACATATCAATCACAAATGACAAAATTATAGAAGATGGAGAACAAATTAGTGGTTGTCAGAGGGTTAAGATGAGGGGAGGAGCAAGAGGGTGGACAAGACTTGGGTATGGCTGTGAAAAGGCAACATGAGGGATTATTCTCATGGAAATGTTGTCTATTTTGATTGCATTCACATAAATATGGTGGTTGTGATAATATACTAAAGTTTTACAAGATGTTACCATTGGGGGAAGCTGCCTAAAGGGAACACAGAATTTCTCTGAGTTATTTCTTATAACTGAATGTGAATCTACAATTATGTCAAAATAAGAAGTCTAATTAAAAAATATATTCCAGAAGCCACACCTTTCTTAGATATTTTACCATACAATTGTCTAAAAATAATTTTATAACCATAAGTTTCTACTTAAGGCTCCCAAAGTATGCATATTGAGTGTTTACTGTTTGCTTATCACTTTTCTAGGACTGTGTATTGATTGGTTGATTCATTCAAGCTTTCATAATATATTTGAGTATCACTGTATTCTAGACACATTTCTGAACATTGGAAATAACTGTGAACTACACAAAGAAAAATCCCTATCCTAATGGAACATGTGTTGTAACGAGGACAGATCCATAGACAATGCTATGTACAATACAGAAAAGTAAAGCAGATAAAGAGGACAGAAAATTCTAGCTGGGAGGAGGTTCAATTATAAATAAATCAGATCCTCTTTAAAGTGGTGGCATTTGAGGATACATTTTCAAAGGATAAAGGAGGAGACAAAACATAGCTAGGGGAAGAGAATGGTGGGTTAAAAAAGGACCCTATGGGCCTTGAAATGACTGTGGATTTTATTCTTTGTGACTTGGGAGGCTCAGTAACTATGTAATGAACAAATTCTTCTTCTAACAATTACTACAGTCTTTAGGACAATGGTCAAAAAACAATCACTATTTTTAGAGTTACTTATGCTGCTTCCTATTTTAAATTTAGCAGAGTTCTCATTTTTCCATATTATATTCAAACTTCTGCTACAAATATGCAAAATCAAGAGCAAAGTAAGGCCCACTTAAGTTTTTCAACCTCCCCTCCTACACTCTTTCCAATACTATGCACCCCACTCTAGTCAGGCTTCCACCTGAGCTTGACCTCCCCTTTTTTTTAAATGGTTTTATTTATTTATTTATTTAAGAGAGAGAGAGCGAGAGAGTGATAGAGATAGGGAGAGAGAGCACGAGCTGAGAGGAGAGGGAGAAGCAGGCTCCCACTGAGCAGGGAGCCCCATGCAGGGCTCAATTTCAGGACCCTGGGATCATGACATGAGCTGTAGGCAGACACTTAACTGCCCCTCAGCCTGACCCCATTTCTTTATCCCACTGTGTGTTTTCTCTTGGTGTATCCTGGAATTCATATTTACTTCCTTCTCTCTATTAATCTCACTACTTTTGTGAATAGTGATGGTGTCACAGGGTGGCTTACCATGAGTGCCTCAGAATACCCATAATCTTCAGTTCTCCCTACCATTCGTATAGATCAAATAAAATGAAGAATGTTCTTTGACATGTAGTATGACATTTTCTCATAGCACAATGAGGAATAACAAAAAAGGATTTTTCAAAAACTTGGCTATTTTATTGATCTGTATCAGATAATCTAAGTAGACACTAGTGTAACTGCCTATGAAATTCAGGGTTCAAGACCATATCATCATTTCCCACTAGGTTACTGAATCTAAGCTTCTTCTACAAACAAATTCTGAAGCTGCCAATGAGCAACATCTAATTCATATTCCATTTCTTCAGGATAGCTTTCAATAAAATCTATTTCTAATCTTCAATATTGCCTTCAATAAAATCATTTCCTATTTGATTTAATCTTCAATCCACACAATTGATTAACATATTAATACAGTTTTATATTTAATTGCTTTATATGTATTGGATATGTCTTTACAATAATGGTGGAGTTATTTGGATGCACACAGCAGAGATCACTGATGCTATTTGGGATTCAAACTTGAATCTTGAACCGCAAACATAGAGCCTGCAAATAGTAAGCATTAAATAAGTATATCTTGGTCAAATTTCCACACTACAAGTGTAAAAGATACTTTTCACCTGAAGTTCACTCTTAAGAGAAGTATTATGTTTAATACTTAAGTCTGTATGAGGGATATTTTGTAATAAAACACTTGAATTTCAATTAGAGTAGCAATGCTAATAGCTATTTCTTTCTGATCTGTGACAGGCAACTATAATGGCTTTTATGCTTTCAGCAATTATTGACTGGTAAGTAGAATGTGTCAATTCACTTGCTTAAGAACAAACAGGATCATGTAATTTACCTACATGCTTGACTTCTCAACTGATGTGATGGATAAGGAGAAAAATGTCAGAGGGATGCAGACAAAGGAAAAAGTGAACTTCTGAATTATTGCATTAATTTGCAACCCTGAGAAAAACTTTTACCACCCACATTCAGTCTATTAAATGGTATTAGAGAATGGTATCCATTCTTATAAGTCATATAAATATTTTATTTTTTAAAAAAGCTGGTAAATGGAAATCAAATTTAGTTGTAATCACAGTTTGCCCAGTAATCTATGCACTGCTCAGAGAGGTCCACAAAATAGGGATTCAAATAAAATGCATGACAGATAAATTTCTTAAATAATTCTTAGGGGAATTGTGGTCAGGACTTTGCAGAAGAGGATTGAGAGTAAAATATATATTAATATAGATAATTTATTAAAATATATAAATGGATAAATATTATATATAATTCTATTAATATATATTATATATAATTCTATTAATATATATAATATATATTATATATAATGTTATACATATTATATATTAAAAATATACAAATACATGTATACTAATAGTTTGCCATATATGGTTTTTTCAAATAACCAAGAGTAGAAGAAAAAAGAAAAACAGGGAAATGGAACACATTCTAATTCAACCACACTGTACCATTAATACATTTGTTAGCTCAGTGGATTTCCAGTGGGTCCCTACAGGTGCCTGCCTGACATCTTCTGTTGGACAAAAACAAATGAAGAAATCACTGCTGAAAATAACACTCCTAAAAACCACAATGTGTATTTTACTTTCCCTCAATTAAGTTTTCGGCATCCAAGGGATATAGCTAATTTTTCTCTCTTGATTCTAAATTACTGAACTTGGAAGAATTTCGAAAAAATCCAAACTATAAAATTATCTTCAAGGAAAAAAATGTTTTAAAAACTCAATATTAAGTTACCACATTTACTAAGATTTGAAAATATTATGGATAAGTACATGCATTTTGAGCTAATACGAGATTCTAAAAGTTCAGTCCTGTGTGCACATGAACTTGCTATAATATTTTTATTGGTACATATGATACACTTTGACATAAAATACTGTTAAAAGTACCAAGGTTTGGGGCCTTCATCTGTATTTGCCCTATTCCAACATGTTTGACTGTGACAATGGAACCAGCTTAGACACCAAACACTAATCTTCTCATAAATTCAGTCGTCATGATGCATGTTTAACTGTGTCCAGATATGACCGAGTTTACACTGAGAAAAATACCCAATAATCCCTGGAAGGAATGTTAAGGTCAGACACCAGGCAGTGAGAGAGTGAGCCAAATTTGATTTTACTTTATGTCAAAAATAAGTACAGAGTCAGTGACTCAGAGCTGACTATACACCATGACTAATCTTAGACCACTATAAATTAGAAGTTTGCGGCAGCTATAAAACTGTTTCCATTCTGAACAATGAATCTCCAGTTCTTACTAATATCTAATCAACAAACAGTTCATGTGAACCTAAATAAAAGCAAAGTATTTACCTAACAAATACTGTAATCAGAAATAGAACTATATCCTAGACCTGAAACTTAATTTTAAAGATGAAAAAATTACTTAACTATTTTTGAAGTACTAATTACTACTTATGTTTCATGTGAATGACTCTCCTTAATTAAAAATACTCCTATATTTGCATGGGAGAAAATATCTATAATTTTGCCTGGTGGAAATATAGAAATAATATTTTGCAATGGAATAAAAACCTTTATGGAAAATTATAAATTTAATAAGAAAACAATTCATTTCTTTCTCCTAAAAACATGTGAGTACCTGTAATTCCCAGGGTATTTGCTAGGAACTGTGAGTAAAACAAAAACAAATTAGACATAGACCCCACAAGGAAAAAGTTTACAATGGAATAGAGTGCATCTCTAATTTCAGCATTGTCCTACCCACATAATCTTATTTAAATGCAGACTTATCTGTGATCACCAAGACAGCATGGTATTGGCACAAAAACAGACACATAGATCAATGGAACAGAATAGAGAGCCCAGATATGGAACCTCAACTCTATGGTCAACTAATCTTCAACAAAGCAGGAAAAAATATCCAATGGAAAAAAGACAGTCTCTTCAATAAATGGTGCTGGGAAAATTGGACAGAAAAATTCAGAAGAATGAAACTCAACCATTTGCTTACACCATACACAAAGATAAACTCTAAATGGATGAAAGACCTCAATGAGAGACAAGAATCCATCAAAGTCCTAGAGGAGAACATAGGCAGTAACCTCTTTGACATTGGCCACAGCAACTTCTTTCAAGACATGTCTCCAAAGGCAAGGGAAACAAAAGTGAAAATGAATTTTTGGGACTTCAACAAGATAAAAAGCTTCTGCACAGCAAAGGAAACAGTCAACAAAACAAAGAGGCAACCCACAGAATGGGAGAAGATATTTGCAAATGACATTATAGAAAAAGGGCTGATATCCAAGATATATAAAGAACTTCTCAAACTCAACACCCAAAAAACAAATAATCAAGTCAAAAAATGGGCAGATGACATGAACAGGCAGTTCTCCAAAGAAGACATACAAATGGCTAACAGACACATGAAAAAATGTTCATCGTCATTAGCCATCAGGGAAATTCAAATCAAAACCATATTGAGATACCACCTTACACCAGTTAGAATGGCAAAAATTGACAAGGCAAGAAACAACAAATGTTGGAGAGGTTGTGGAGAAAGGGGAACCCTCTTACACTGTTGGTGGGAATGCAAAGTGGTCAGCCACTTTGGAAAACAGTGTGGAGGTTCCTCAAAAAGTTAAAAATAGAGCTACCTTATGACCCAGCAATTGCACTACTGGGTATTTACCCCAAAGATACAGATGTAGTAAAAAGAAGGGCCACCTGCACCCCAATGTTCATAGCAGCAATGTCTGCAATAGCCAAACTGTGGAAAGAGCTGAGATGCCCTTCAACAGACGAATGGATAAAGAAGATGTGGTCCATATATACAATGGAATATTACTCAGCTATCAGAAAGGATGAATACCCAACTTTTACATCAACATGGATGGGACTGGAGGAGATTATGCTAAGTGAAATAAATCAAGTAGAGAAAGTCAATTATCATATGGTTTTACTTACTTGTGGAACATAAGGAATAGCATGGAGGACATTATGAGAAGGAAGGGAAAAAATGAAGGGGAGGAAACCAGAGGGGGGAGATGAACCATGAGAGACTATGGACTCCTGGAAATAAACTGAGCATTTTAGAGGGGAAAGGGGTGAGGGGATGGTTTAGCTCGGTGATAGGTATTAGGGAGGGCACATATGCATGGAGCACCATGCATGGAGCAGTGGGTGTTATATGCAAACAATGAATCATAGAACACTACATCAAAAACTAATGATGACTGTATGGTGACTAACATAACATAATAAAAAATATATTTTTAAATAAATAAATAAATGCAGACTTGTTGTGAGTCTTACTTTCCAAATTCTGATTCCATAGGTCTAGAGTAGGGCCTCAGGGATATACATTCTGATGCAGGGATTAGAAGTCTCAACTTCAAAAAGCATTTTTCTTCAGTATTGAGTACATAACACACAGTACCATATCTGCCTAATTCATCGATTTAGAGTCCCTTCAACTTTCAGTCATGTAGTCTTTTAACCCTGAGTTAAGATCAAATTCAAATACTTATTTTTTTTATTTTTTACAAAGACCTGTACCTTACATTCAGGTGTCTCTGTATCAAATGCATATTACTGTTTTGATTATGTGTCTCAGTTCTACTAACTGAACTTCTGCTTTGTTCCTGTGATGAAGCACTCACCTTGAGTACCAATGGACTTAGTAATGAGTCTTCTGCCTCATTTTCAGTCTTGAACCTCTCATTTATCTCAGAATTATTGTCCTATTTTTTTTTCCAGTTCTCTGAGGCTCAGCTCCTGTACAATGATCAAGACTATTGTACCTGATGCTAGACCATCGGCCAGGATTTGAACATATTTCCTTCTGCTGCCCATTTACTAGGGAAATACCTATTACTCCTTTCTGGACGTCTCTGACACTGCCTGTCCTCACTGCTACATATTACCAACCATCAAAGTTCATGGGTAATCTACTCCAGTATTTCCTCAAATTTACAGAGCATCAGATCACCTAGAGAGATGCTTAAAAGTACAGATTCTTGGGCATCACCTCTTGAGGCTGTGATTCAGCAAATCTGGAGTGAAGTCTGTGGCTTTAAAGTTTGGCATGTCATTGAAGAATTTAAAACACACACCCACATACACACACACACACACACTTAAACTGGGCTTTTAAGAATGAATTTTGTATAACATAAAAAAGGAAAAGGACAATATAGCTACAGGAAGCAAAGCAATTTGATCATGAGAAAGTGTAGGGTACGTTTAAAAAGAGTGAGTCTAATCAATTATTAGCCCCATAGCAAGTAGCAAGAGTTTAATAAATGTTCTTTGAATTGAATACATGAAGTCTAATGTGCTGAAAAAATGAAGTTTGGCTAGAGGCATCAGCTAGATGAGGAAACGCAGTGGAGGGACATAAGAATGAAAAGCTAGACAGAAGTCAGATTCTAATTGGTGATAAATTCGGGGATGCATTTTCTAGACAACAAGAATAAGTAAAACATTTGGAGTATCCCGGGTCATCTCCTACACCTTTTACCTTTCATTCTGATCTCTTTGCTTCAAATACCCAAATCTATGTCTAACGTTTACCCTCAGATAATAAACTTCAACTGCCAGCACATAAATGCTCTAAATTGTGTATTAGAGACAATTCAATCAAAGTAAGTAGGTAGGAAGAAAAGACTGATGGGCAGGCTGGATGAGGGTGTGTGGTAAGGCTACTTGAGGTATTATTACAGGAAGCAACGAGAATCTGATGCAAAATGGGGCAGTCAAGTTGAAGAAGGAGCAGATTGCAGAACCATGGCAGAGACTGAATTAATAAGATCTGATTTTATGTAGGAGAGATGGGAGCAAGAATCACATATAAATATGAGGCTTGGTGTCCAAATGATTATAAAGTACAGGCATAGAAAAGTAGGGAAGAGAAGAATTCATGTAGCATAAATTCCATGTGAAGAAGTTTAGGGTTGGTACGCCAACCAGTTCCTTAGCTGAAATTTTCTAATAATTTATGTGTGTGTATTTGTGTGTGTGTGTGTGTGTGAGAGAGAGAGAGAGAGAGGATAAAATGCAGGAGAAAGTAGATCGAATTGATGGAGTGATGTTCTAGAGGAGATATATTGAAACAAAAATAAACAGATTCCTGAAAAGAGGAAAGCAATGGCACCCCTGAGAGACTATCTTGAGAGCATAAATAAAGATATGGGCAAATTTTGAAGGAGGTCAAGTCAGTATCACTGATGTAGTAAAATGAATAATCACATCAAATATAGATGATAGTGTGGGTATATTATGTTCAAAATGAGAGCAGAATTCTGCTATGGAAAATTGAAAGAGTGTAAACAAAGGATGTATAGAAGATTATGGAGCAGGTAGGAGAGTTAGAAAAGGTGAATTTATAGCTGAAACAGGTAAATAATTTCTGTTTTTTTTATAGCACTAGTCTTCAGCCAGCATCTGGTGAAAACAATGGAATTCTCTCAGAGTTGGGAAACCCCTGGAAGTTGAGTCACAATGGCCTGGTTTGAGATGTAAGGAGTAAGAGGCAGGTGTTGCTGAAAAGCATCAATTCCAGCTGAACAGGGAGAACACTGAAGTATGAAGAAGTGTTGCACTGAAAGAATGAGAAGGAAAGGATGCCGAGGAAACCAGGGAAAAGGTACACCATGTCTCAAAGTTCTGTGGTTTACCACCTCAAGGATAGAGAAGTGGAGTAAAATTGGGTGATGCTGATTTCAGAAGGCAGAAGGAATTAAAAGATGCTACCAAGATAACAGATCTGGATGTGCCAGAAGTAAACAATTATGCCATTACCCACAGTCCCTATTAGGACTTCCAGAGAAGTAGCATCATCAGGAAGGAATCAGACTTACATTTATATGAGCAGGTACAATACTGGAGAAGGAAGGATGAAGGAGATTATGACGTAGGTCAGACCAGTGTTAGGGAGGGCAAGAGTTTTCTTCTTCGTGGACTAGAGCTTAGTGAACCGGATGTTTTTATTCAAATAATATAAAGATTAGGGCTAGTATATAGGAAAACAAATAGATGAAAGAGAGTTTGACTCTGCCAGCTATGGAATTCAGGGAAGCATCTAGAATTCCATAAAATCAATTAAGTAAAAAAGAGATAAATATCAAAATGTTTACATGTTCACTCCATATTTTAATTTATGAGAAAGCATAATTTGATAAGCTCAGAGTTTGGATAATAAGAAATATTTGTGGAAACACAGTAGTACAGATTTGCTCTCTCCTTTCCTCCTTTTAATCTCCTAATGTCGTGGAGAGGGGTCAGTGTACTACACAGCTAGTACTCAGGTAACACATGTCATAAAAATGTATGTGTTACATTTTTAAATATTTCTTTCATATCTTCAGATAAATGTGCTATAAAGACAATTACCATATGAATTCACTCATATGTGAAACTTAAGAAACAAAACAGATGAACAGAGGAGAAAAAAAAGAGAAAGAGAGGCAAAGCAGGAAACAGACTCTTAATTATAGAGAACAAACTGAGGGTTGCTGGAAGGGAGGTGGCTGGGGGATGGGCTAGATGAGTGATGGGGATTTAGGAGGGCACTTGTGATGAGCACTGGGTGTTGTATGTAAATGAAGAATCACTAAATCCTACATCTGAAACTAATATTACATTGTTAACTGGAATTTAAATAAAAACTTGAAAGAAAAGAAAAAGATTACAACTGGTGTTGACCAATGTATGACATCGGCCACAGACGGTTACTTGTTTTGGGTGTTAGGTACCTCTTTCAGGTAAATTACCTGTTTCAGATTAGTTACATGTTTCACAGTAGTTACCTGCTTCAGGTAGTGTGCTGACGTTGCATGTTTTTTCATCACCTTCACCAGCTGAGGTTGAAGCTCTTATTTTAAAGACATATGAGGTATTGGCAAGAAGTTTCATGAAAGTATACATATGATCTTGGGGAGAGACTCTTGTAGAATTCCTTTCAGCTGTTATCACATAATGAATAATTATTCCATTTGCCTTTTTGGGTGGATCCCACTTCACTAAAGCTGACTGCCAGCTAGTTGCCATACACCGTATATTCTGTACGGCATCTGGAACTTAAAAGATAAACAAATGCCCAAAGTTAAAATTTATACACATGTAGTAAATGATTTCATTACCTGATTGCTATAAAATCATGTTTAGGAGTTGAGACCAAATAAAAATTTAACATATCAAACTTGCAATGTGTGCTCAATAAGTTCTTAACATAGACTGAATGAAATGGCAGTTGGCTCATTTTCTATGCTATTATGTTAATCCTTACAATAGTGAGCCAATCATTGAATATTTTCCTAGGCCCAAGCAGCAATCATCCTCAAATCCTGAGAAGCAACTAACTGTAAAGCCTCAAGCTCAGGCAGTGGTTGAAGCCTGCCCTCTTTATCTCTTAACCGGAAAGGAACAGTCTTAGTAATACTTTTTTTATGGAATATTTTTATGGAAAACATAGATGTAGGTACCTCCATGATTGACACATCTGGGCCTAACATTGTTAGGAGATAGTTGGACAGTTAGGTAGTCAGGGTGATGGTCCCCAATGAGAAAATATGGAGTCAGGACAGCTAAAATAAAACAGCACTAACATCTGGTTTTGCAGCTTAGACAGGACCACACTGACATTCTGCTTTGCAGCCTTTGCAGAAATGACTTCTGCAAAATGTCCTAAAATAAGACAATTAACCACAAAGCATATGTCAATATCATGAGCAAGGGGCAGTTAAGACATAAGCCCCCAGATGTCCCACCAAAACAGACCATCAGCACGTGGACATTAACCTAATATGTAGACAGATACATGATCAAAGCCCTGGTTGGCACGACTCAGCACACCCTGATTGCTGAAGATAGTTCTGCAAAAGAGCTCATAAAAACCCTTAAACTTAGAAACTCCAAGGGCAACCCTCTCAGGTCCCCTCCCTCTCTGGGAGCTTTATACTCTTGTTCAATAAACTTTGCTTTGGGGCTCACCACTCTTTGTCTGGTCTACCTTTTCATTCTTCAAAGCAGTGTGACCAAGAACCCAGGGCACTAAAGGCAGAGAATTCCTGCAACAACAGTACTAGGAAACATGCAATCAATTTAGGGATTTTGTTTTTACAATTGGTAGGCTTCTTCGGAAGAATTGTGAAGACCTGATCCCTCAGTATCTTTTAAAAAGTCATTGGAGGGAAGATTTAAATCAGTCCCAGTTTTTAATTCAGTCCCAGTTTTTTTCTAAAACTTCTATGAATTTACTTGGAAGTAACCCAATTTCTCAGAGGCCCACTATATCTTGTGGACCTGGTTGAAGAGCAGTACCCCAATCCATCAAAATGACTGCAGATTAGAGAGACTGGCTACTTCCCATGGAAATGTCCAATTATGTAATGCCCCCTAATATTAGCATAGCTTTTCTTATTATAGTAAAAAGAGGATGCTAGAAGGAAAATTCACCTATCATCATTTTGTGGATTATAAAGAAGTAGTGGAGTATATAAAGAATTTGTGGAGTATAAAGAAGTATAAACAACTTGCTGTCATTATGCAAAACATAGTTATTGAAAGAATACTCAAGTATTATCTTTGAGTTTTCTCCTCTGACCTAAATTTATCTTTACAAATCCTTCTTCCTTTTTAAGATAAAGACATCAGAACTAAAGGATGTGTGGCATTTAAAATGAAAGAAAAGACAATTTCTCAGCAGATCCAGGGTTCTGGCAATTAAATATTATTAATTATTTGCTTCCTTATTTTCAAAAATATATAATATTTTTATAAAGTAAATTAAGAGACAGTTGATACTTTGCTTAAGTTTAATTTATAAACCCAGATTTTGTGAATATCTATTTCACTGACCCTGTAAATCAAAAAATAATTAACCAGCGATATTTAACACTTGAAGTTGAAAATTTCTTTTATTTAACCAATCAAGGCATAGAATTTTATGCAATTTTATTTTATTGATAAAAGTATTTACTGTGTTATTGTCTACAAGGTTAGCCTTGATTTTTTACTAAACTGATACATGTATAAATTGTTAAAGTGTTTTTCTTCTTTATAGGTTTGGCATTTGTATATAATATGTAAATTATCATTTATAATATAACCATTTCCTACAGTCATGTCTACCCTTCACTAGAGGTCAGAAACTAATGTTCTAATTCAGTTTCTTCACTAACTTTTTCAGACCTTTTTATCTAAACTGCCTGAATCGTGGTTTTTTTCATCTGTAATACGAGAATGGGGCAACAGTAGTATTTTTTTTGACCACTAAGTGTGTGTCCAACACTCTAATAAGAACTTTATGTGGATCTTTTAAAATATTTTGCACCACAACGTTATAGGCGGCTACTGCTAATATGTGTTTCTTTTCAGTTAGGAACATAGAGGCTCAGAGGACTCATGGGCCTTTGCAAGGTTATACAGCTAGTAAGCTTATATTCAAATCCAGACACTGACTTCAAAGCATGTACTTTTATCCACGATAAATATTGTCTTAGCCTGTCTAAAGTTTCAGATATTCATAAATTAATGCAAAAATGACTAATTTATCAGTGAGTGCTCCCCAGTTTCAATTTAGAGGTTCACTAAAACAAGAGGAAGTGCATCTAAAGGTACAGAGAAAAAATAACTAGAGCAATATCTTGTGCTCACTCAATAATCATTGATGAAAAAAGTGAGGACGAGGTGCCTTTAAACATATGGTCCAGTTGAGAGAAGGAAAAGTGCATTTCTAAGTCATCCATGAAATAGATCATAAATGAAAACTATCCAGTACACAAGCAAAGGTCAGCTTTGGCATGGATATGACATGTAGGTAAGCTGTGTAATTAGACCAGTGGTATTTCATAGTCTTCATAATCCCCTCCACATGTTACAAATAGACTACGGAAAGTAGAAGTTTACATAATGACCAGTGGTCTTCACGTGTCACAATATATCTTCTTTAAAAAACCATCGGTATCGCTTCATGTAAATATAAACCAACCTGTTAAAAGTGGCTACTGGTTGGTTTCTCTTCCCTCCCCCCAATCTCAGCTGTCTCAGTTGATGCTAAGAATTTAAGAAACAAAACAAACGAGCAAAGGGAAATAAAAAAGGGGGAGAGAGGCAAACCAAGAAATAGACTCTTAACTATAGAGAACTGTTGGTCACTAGAGGGGAGGTGAGTGGGGTTGGGTGAGATAGGTGATGGGGATTAAGGGGGGCACTTGTGATGAGTACCTGGGGTTATATGGAAGTATTGAATCACTATTGTATACCTAAAACTAATATTACCTTGTATGTTAACTAACTGGAATTTAAATAAAAACTTTATATAAAAAAAGAATTAAGTAGTTTTTACAGATACCTAGAAACCTACTTTATTCCTAAACGATTCCTTGATTTCAATTTCCTCAGTTCAAAAGGAAAAACCACGTGTAAGTATATATATATTTGCACACAAGACCCAGCCTACTGTTAAAGGCCTGAAATTCAACTTCCCTTTGAATGCACTATTAAATGATGATACTTTATCACATAAACCAAAAGGAAAGGAAAAGTGTTAAATACAAAGTGAAACATTTTAGGATGAAAAAACTGTGTCTCACCTGATTCTTGAGTTGTGAATTTTACTACATTACTAAACTGATTGCCATTTCCGACTTTTGTAAAGGCAGATAGGCTGACAGAATAGGTGCTGACTGGTTCCAGTCCAAAAAGTTGGGCTTCAGTTTGAACACCTGAAATATTCTGAAAAGCAGGAAAAAATTCTTTGTCATGATGCATCACCAAAAATTTGTAACTGGGAGAAATATTTTATTACATTAAAGTTATGCTGTCTATGTTTAATAAGCATGGGTATTTTCAGTTAAAACAAATATTAAACATTTTTTTGTGCCACCGGGTGTGATCATATGATGATATAGGATGAACTGGGCACCCTCTCAGCCCTGAAAAATCTCATACTGGCCATGTTTTTAATTTTTTTTTAATGTTAGAGTATTTTGTTTTCATTTTGTCTCCCTAACACTTGCTTGGATTAATATACTGATTACTTCCTTTAAATTTGCAAAACTGAAAGTCCCCAACTTAAACTTATGGGTGGTTGACAATGTTAGATTATTCTTGAATTCA